CCCCGCCGTGGACCTGCCACGTCAGAATCCGCATTTTACGCAGATCTCCAGGGGATTCACACACACATTACGTTTGAGACGCGCTCCACCCATCCGTCCCCCACTAGTCATCCTCAGTGCAGCAGCCACACTGAGCCTTCCAAGAGCTGAGTCAGGGCAACTTTGCTCTTTGCTAAAGTCCTCCCGTGGCTTCCAGGCCATGAATGGTCAAAGCCAGAGTTCCTGCCAGATCTGCTCCCTCATCTCTGGGCCCATCTCTGGCCACTTACCCACATGGCCTCACAGGTGGGCACTCGGCTGTCCCCTTGAGCTGGAATGCTCTTTCTCTAGGTCACTCCCTCACTTTCGCCTTCCCTGATTGTCCTCTGTAAACCAGGAGCCAGGACCTCAGCCCTTCTTTATCTGCTTTCCTGTTCTCTGTGCTGGACCAAATGATGGCTCCCGAGAGATACCAGGTCCCGGAGCCTGTGAATATTATCTTAGCTAGAAAAGGGGGCTTTGCAGCTGTGACTGAATTAAGGGAGATGAGCCTGGATGATCTCAGAGGGCCCTAAATGCCACGGAGGCAGTGGGAGGTCTGACACAGGAGAGGAAACGGGGACGTGAGCACAGACTCAGAGGCTGGGGCAGTGTGGCCACAAGCCCAGGACGCCAGGCAGCCACCTGAAGCTGGAAGAGGCAGGAAGGACCCTCCCCTAGAGCCTGCCTGGGGAGCGTGACCCGGCTGACACCTTCACATCAGCTCAGTGACTCTGACTTGGGACTTCTGGCCTCGGGAACAGTGAGGGAGTACATTTCTGTTGTTCTGATCCATGCAGGCGGTGGTCACTGGGTAGAGCAGCCACAGGAGCGGAACGCAGTCTCCTTTGTGCGTATAACCCTGGGGGATGGGACGTGCTTAGGATGTCCCCCTCTTCGGAGGGAGCAGCCCGAGGGCAGGGACTCGGCACTTGGCAGGTGCTCCCTCACCAGGAGCAGAAAGGAGAGAGAAAAAAGTGAGCAGGGCCCTAATCACACCCCGGACAGAGCTTGGATGGCCGTGGACAGAGAGATAGTGAGGGAATCAGAATATTCAGGGCTGTGCTGTCTGACTTTTGAACTGCTATGATTTTGGTGTAATTCCTCTTCTAGGTTTTTCTCCGTGAATATATGCTTCTTCCCTACAGCACGGCAACCCTGACGCAGAGACGGCTGCGTCTGCTGTTTACCCCGTGCTCCTGCATCACGGTCCTGTCCCCGTGTCGGTCATCAAAACGTGACTTCCAAAGGCTTGTGCTCTGTGGGTGCATCCCCCACTTTGTGTAATGGAGCCTCTGTTTGGTGGCTTTTCAGTTATTTCCAGTGTCAGAACTCCAGAAACTGGAAGCAGAAGGAACCTCGGAAGACGTGCGGGCCCCCTCCCTGTCACCCTCACCTGGGGGACAGAGAATCAATCCACCCTGCCCCAGCAGGGGTCCCCAGAGCTCAGGGGTGGCCGCGGGGTTGGAGGCTGGAGTCCAGCTGGGGTCTCGAGGCTCCGCTTCCTTGGAATGGGGTAATAATAACACCTCTCTCCCTGGGTTGATAGAGGATGGAGAGCCATAACGAATTGGAAGTTCTCAGCCACTGTTACTAAATTTTTATCGCCCATGCTGTCGGGAAGGAACACATGCCCTGAGGGGGCGCTTTCTACCTGAGCAGCTGTGTGAGGTCACAGAAAGGGCTCTGAACTGCAGTCTGGAAACTTGACTCTGACCAGGGCAGCCCCGATCCTTGGCCACGTGGTCTGAGGTTTCCGCACACGGTCTGCTACCTGTGTCCTGGCCCAGCCCACAGAAGACTCCCTCTTGCGACGACAGCCCCACCGATGCTCACAGACACTGCTGCGACTCCACGGGAGGGCGGGCCTTTTCTGTAAAAGGCCAGAGAGTGAATATTTCAGGCTTTGCAGGCCAGATGGTCTCCGGAAAGCAGCCTCTGACACTATGCAGACGAACTGGCGTGGCTGCCTGCCAATAAAGCTTTATTGACAAACATGGGCTGCAGAATTCATAGAGGCAGAGAGTAGATTAGAGGTTGCCAGGGCCTAGGGGGCTATTGTTTGATGGGTACAGAGTTTTAGTCTAAGGTGATGAAAAATTCTGGAACTAGACAGTGGTGATGGTTGCCCAGCCAAGTTAAGGTAAAGGGAACGCACTTAATGCCATTGAACTGTCCATGTGCAAACGGTTAACATGGCAAACTTTATGTTATGCTGATTTTGACCACAAGAAAAATGGTTAAAATGGCAAATTTTATGTTTCACTTGTTTAAGAAGAAAGAAAGAAAGAAAAACAAAACAGGCTGGGGACCGGATTTGGCCCCCAGGCCATCACTTACTGGCATTCTCAGAGTCCTGCCATGGGACGCCCCTTTGCCACGGTAAATCCACCAGTTTCCTGATTCTGTGTCTCCTCGGCATCTGGGCACGGTGTCCTGCACCCAGGAGGCAACTCTAAAAACTGGACTCTTATTCTGGGTTCCTTCGCATGCCCAATGCCTTCCGTTGGACGTGAACTTAGCAAGGAACATGGTGTTTCAGGTGGGGCCCCCCATCTGGGGCACCCGCTGGGCCTGTGGCTGCTCTGGGTTTGGGCAGCACACGTGTTCCTCTGTGGTCCAGGTTAGACCTTGGGGCGCCAACCCCGCTGGCTCAAACCCAGCAGGCAGCCCGCTGTGGGAGAAAATCCAGGCATTTTTCCTCTGAACTGTGGCAAGGTGGGCCCCTCAGACTGATGTATTGATTTTGGGGACACTAACTGTAGGATTTAATAGGAAAATTCTGCTTGCTCCTTCACTCGATCATTTTCGCCTGCCAGCACCTTTTAGAATCTGTCATCTGTTGTATCCGCTGTCCTCCCAGCTTTGTGTCATCTGGAAATGACTTCTAATATCTTCACACAAGTCACCAGGTCCCTGATGGAGACACGGCAGAGGCTAGAGCCAACCTCGGCTGCCACGGGATCATTAATCAATACTCTTTGGGTGCGATGGATCTGCTGGTGAAAAAGTCACCTAATTGGATGGTTACCTTCCGGCCACTTCTCTATCTTTTCCACAAGGACATCACACACAGTGCCATTTCAAAATGATGTCACTTCCTCCACAGAATTCTTCCACATTGAAAGGGAAACAGGCGAGTCAGACACGACTTATTTGGGGCTAAACCATGTGGGCTTCTGGGCTCCAACCTTCTAGGTGCTTGGAACCAATCTGGTGGCTGAAGGTGCAACAGTTCCCTGCACCTTAAAAATTCCGACTTTAAACGGAGACAGCCCAGACCCAGAACCTCAAAGCCAGGCAAACAGCTCTATAACAGCTGCTGAAAAGAAGAAGGAACAAGAATACAAATAAAATGCATCTAGATTTTGATGGGAGCAAAGCTTTCCCTTCGAAAAGTAAGTGGGCAGTCACAGCCACGAGGTCTCACGTGAACTCGCGCACTAATTTTTAAACGCAACCTTTCCAATGGGAAGCAGCCCTGAAGACCGCTTCTTGTGCAGGTGTTCCGAGCTCTCTGAGCAAACGCCACTGTCCTGACTTCCAAGATATTCACTCCCTGCCCCAACGCGCGCACCAGCCTGGGAGTCACTGTCCCCTCCGGGACAGAAGCCGGCTGGGCCGCATCCCGGTCGTGAAGACAGAAACCCCAGACGCGGCTCCCGAGTAACCATGGCTCCGGGCATGCGCAGTTAGGAGCCCGGCGAACGTCCGTCTACTCCGTCTTCCGCGCGCAGCAGAACCGCAGAACCTGTGTCCTGAACGACCTCAACAGACATTTACTGAAGTTTCAATTTCACGTGGGTGTCCCCTCTAGGAGCGGCAAGGAACTGCATCGAGCTTTATGATCTGGGAGAGGTGCACTCCCTGAATCTTCCTGGCTAACTGGACCAGACGTTACTATGCAGCTGAGGGACCGGAGTTTCTGGGACTTTAAGGGACTTGTTGAAGCCCCCAGGCACCCAGCTGCGAGGTGTTGGCATCGCTGCCGAGGCGCACCCTTTCTCGTGTCCCGCGGGGCCGGGGCCCTGGAGACACAGAAGGAGGGGAGCCAGGGCGCCTGCCGGGAGTGCAGACCACCTGGTGCATTTCCTGAACTTTAGCACATGCCTGGGCGTGGGCAGCCCTCCCTAGGGCCTGGGGAACAAGGGAGCCCCATCTTACCTCGTCGGTGATCTGGCCTCCAAAGGTCACCCATGTCCCTGGAAGGAGACACACAGGTTCAAGTCAGAGAACCGCCCCGGGGAGCCCGGTTCTCCTCCAGGGGTGCTTGGACCTCAGGCTGCAGGGAGCCTGCTCCGTGTGAGCGTGTGCTTGGCACATGTGGACACCTGGCCTTCAGGGCAAGTCTCCCTTTCTTGAGGCCACCAAACCAAGGGAACAGTAAGTGCCTGGAGCGGGCAGCTGACTGCAAGGCTTTGAAATGTTTGCTGGGGCTCAAGCTGACACAGTGCCTATTCCAGGGACACGCCGCTGGCAGCGGGACCAGGGCCATCTCCCTGAAGATGCGCAGGTCTGACAGCCATGTCCTCGCGCTTGCTGGGAGGGGTATGTGTGTGTGCGCGCACATGCACGCGTGGACTGGAGGGACAGCTTGTTCGGGGAACAGAGCACATATCTGGCAAAAGGAGAAAAAAGGCAAAATCCGACTGCCCTTCACAAGGGACTCCTCCACATAAGGAAACAAGGTGTGGGAACATGGGGGCAGGTGCTTCCCTGATCTTTGGGTGCTGGACAGGGGGCTGAGTGTGCAGAGGCCCCGGTACTCCCCACCCCAACTAAGGCTGCATCTCTGTCTCCCTCCCTTTCCTAGGACCCTCCCCCACTGCCTCCTGGTAACCACGGCAACTGAGTCCCCCAGTCCCGGCTCCGGGTGCAGCTCCCTCCCTGCACCCCCAGGGGTGGCCCCTTCAGCCTTCCCACTGCCCCTGCTTCCTTGGGTGCTGCTGGAACCAGAGGCCGCCACACTCACCGAGCCCCAGGCAGGAGACCCGCAGGCCTGACTTGCCCAGGTTCCTAGAAAACAAACATGGTGTGAGTTCTCAGCAGCCAGGGCAGGCCCCACCGTTCCCACTGCCCAGCCCTCCGAACCCCACATCCCAGCCTCTTTTTGGGGCTCTGGCAGCAAGGGGTCCTTTGAAGAGAGGCCTGCTGATTGCCCACCCTGGGCGTAAAGGGTCAATTCTCCCCCTCTACAGACCGGGGCATGGCCATCCTGGTGGGACAGGCCGTGCTGTGACCATGGCAGGGCCCCCGAGAGCCACCTTGGAGAGAAAACATGGAATGGGCCCTGTCTTGTTTCATGGGTTGACGCGAGACTGACTCAGGCCGTGGGGTACCCGCCACAGGCATCCTTGTGTAAACAGCTTCTCTTTCTGCTTCTTCAGAGCGTCACGTTGGCGGTTCTGTGTATTTTCACTCCCTCTCTCCGAGGAGTGGAGGAGAAATTAGTTCCACGTCGCCTGGGCCCCGCAGCCCTCGGCCTCTGCAGCAGGATGAGGGGAGAGGAGAGCTCCGCCGAGGGCCCTGTGCCCGCAGCAGGCCTGACTCCCAGCCAGGAGAGGGCAGGAGGGCAAGAGACAGACACTCTGGCAGCACACTTCCTGCTCGGGGCCAGCGGACGCAGCTGCACAGGCTGCCCGGGGCTCCGCCGCAGGCCTGCCGAGGCGCCCGCCAGATGGGGCACGTCCCGGGGTCCACGTGAATGAGCTGCGGACTGTCATTAATGTCCTTAGGGGTCAAGGCGGGCGGTGACGCCTGGCTGAGGACTGGGATGCCCATCCATCCTGCACAGACTGGCTGAGGCCTGTCCTTAAGGGCCCTGTCACCGACCCCCTGACAGCTCTGTGGGGCAGCACCTCCCCTTTCCTGATAGGCCCACTTTATAGACGAGCACACTGGGCCTGCCCGGGGGCAGAGGAGCTGGGAGTCCACGCAGACAGTCAGCCCCGAGAACACGCCCCCACCAGGGGGGCACGCCCCACCATGGGGGCGTCGACGGGTTGCAGGGTAGGAGCGCACTTCCCTGGGAGGTCCTGCTGCCCGCACCCCGGTCCTGGGCCCAGCCCGGGGTGCGACGCTCTCCGGGGCAGTGGGGAGCCAGAGAGTGGGGGCAGGGGGAGACGCAGTGGGTGAGCCCCAGCCTCCTACCCCGAGGCCCCCTGGTGTTTCCCTGGGGCTACCCCACTTCTAACTTCAGTGGATGCTGTGTCCTGTTTTCCTCACTCACCTGGCTCCCCTGGGAAGCAGGTGTGGGGCTGAGCCTGACCTGCCGCCCTCTGACATGAGTCCACTCACCCCCAACAAGACCCCTGGCCCCGCTCACATCACAGATGGTTGTTGGTGGCGGGTGGGTATAATAAACTTGTAAGCAGTTTGATAACAGTTTGTCACCAAATTTAAGGCAGTCCTAAACGGCCTGGCTTTCTTGTCAAATTTCCCATTAAACCCAGCCCAGCTGCCAACCCACTGCTCCTACAGGGTACGTTGGGAGTTTTCCCTCAGTGAGGACATAATAGCAGCTGGCTTCTGTTTCGGGGAGGGGAGTGGCTACAGCAGAGGTTCTGAAGCTGGAGTTCAAATCCTGGTTCGACCTTCCTGGCCGTACGCCTGCCCCTGGACGTGTCATGTAACCGCGCATGCCTTGGTGTGCTCATCTGCAGAATGGGCTCGTGATGCTGCCTCTCTCATGGGGCTGCCGTGAGGATGAACTGAGATGACACCTGTGCCTGGGACAGAGGGTCAGAGAACACTGCCTCTGCATGAGTCTCATTTCCAAGAGAGACAGCACAGAACAAGGGATGGCAGCCTTTTTCCTTATATGAGAAACGACAAAGGACAAATCAAATAGATTTTAAATGTTACCGGGTTAGAAAAGGAATTGAAGTTTCCCCTTGTTCATTTCCCACTAAAATCAGTGAAATAATCTATCGGTGTCCTCGGCATTGCCTGCATATTACAACCCAGAGCAACTTGGGTTTGTGATTGTCAGAGAGAGGCACAATTTGCAACTGTGTAAGGTGATAGATATTAACTAAACTTATTGTGGTGATCATTTCACAGCAGGTGAATGTATCAAATCGTTCTGCTGTACCTTACACTTAATACAACGTTACGTGTTAACTATATCTCAAAAAGAAAAATAAAGCTGGGAATAATGCTTAGACTATTCTTGATTTAACCTCAGATTTCCTATGAAAGATTTAAAATATAATATGTACTAAATTCAAGGGCTTAGTCAAAAACAGTCTTTAAAAGGTTTCTTAATCAAATCCTAACAGACATAAAGGGAGAAACGGATGGGAACACAATAATAGTTGGAGACTTTGACACCCCACTAACATCAGTGGGCCGATCTTCCAGACAGAAAATCAATGATGCAACAGAGGTCTTAAAGGACACAATAAAAGTTTTCTTACATAGTTTCAATCATGCTTGGATTGCTGTTGCTTGCTAAGTAGAAAGTAAACTTGTGTTTTGTTGTATATAAAGAAATTGGAATTAAAAAGGAATTGAAGAGGGGTGGAGGGTACAGCTCAGTGGTAGAGGGCCTGTTTAGCAGGCACAGGGTCCTGGGTTCAATCCCCAGTTCCTCCATTAAAATAAATAAGTAAATAAATAAACCTAATGACTTCCCCCCAAAAGCCAAAAAACGACAACAACAAAAAGGAATGAAAGAAACAAAAGCGTAAGGGCACCACCTACAGCCCCCGCATCCGGCCGGGTCTTCCTAGCAATTTAGGTGACGTTCTCACACTGGCTAGAAAGCGCCTCTGGTGAGAGATTAGAACATTGCTTATAGGCGGTCTGGTAACGGAGCAGAAAGGGCTGAAGGCTCTAATCAGTGGTCTTACCCATCTGGGGTCACAGACCCCTTGAAGAAACCCCTTCCCTGCAAACGGGCACAGACATGAAAAGCTTCAGACCCTTGTTTGCGACATTGAGGCGTTCGAAGACCTGGGCACCTGGTCTAGATAAATCCAGGTGCCAGAAGTGCGGGAAGGGGGGCCAGGCTCCTGCCTCTGCAAAACCACCCCTCCCGAGTGACGGTGGGGAGCAGTGTCCCGGCCAGGCTCTGTCGATGGCCAAGGTTTAGGTATGTCCTCTTGCAACTTGCCTTCATCGGTGTAAAACCAAGTGCCTGAACGTGCTCAGGGGATGAGCGGCTATAGTGTCAGACAGGTGAGGACCCAGGACCGGGGCTGAGCCCACCTGAGTCTGTGGCCCAAGAGAAGCGACACCCCTCGCCCCCCAGACGACCCGGGGTTGAGCTGCAGCTCCACCCACCGCCCATAGGAATAACTGAACAAAACTAGGGCACCGCGCGATGCCGCAATTACCCCGCTCAAGCTGTTCCCCTGTTAACATGATGGTATTAGTTCTGCCATCCGCTGCCAGGCCTCGGGAGAAGGAGCGAGAAGGGACAGGGTACCTCTGGGCTGGAAGCTTTATAAAAACAGCAGCTTGGTGGGGGTGGAGGGAGCTCAACAGATTACAGCCTTGTGTAGACGGGGCTGGTGACACGCTGCCACTCGAAACTTCCAACACTCGAAAGTCGTTTCCTATAGTTTTTTCTTCCCTAATTAAAACTTGACCTCCTGATAAAATCGTTGGCTTAATCTCTAAACCCAAATAATGTTAGTCTTCATTAATTTGCCTCATGTCCTTCCTGTGGTCTGGACAAATGGCTAATGAGGGCTCAAGGATTCAGCCTGTGCGGGGAGAAAACACAGACGCCATCAGGCAGCCACGGGTCACTCCGCCCCTCTAAACGCTGTGCTGCAGACTCCCGGTGACGACAGAGCCTCTAAAAACAGCCGCTCAGGGCCTTCAACTTCAGCCATCTGGGCAGAGAACAGAAGTCTGATCAGGTGATGGACAGCAACGTGGCCTCGATGAGCTGGTTTGACGAACCGGGGAGCCAGGGTGTTTTTGGGTCAGCTGCCACCCTGCGGGGTGATTACCTGTTCACAGGCCTGCCCCGCCCCCAGACTCCAGGCTCCCTAAGGACGGGCTGGGGCCTCCAGGTCTCTCCCATCAGATTAGAGCTGCAGCCGCAAGGTCCCCGGGGGTGCTTGTTGGTGTAACTTGCGGGTGAGGAGCCCAGGCCTGGGGCCAGACCCTCAGGACCGAATGCTGGCCCCTCTCCTTACTCACAGGGCTTGGCGTCCGCCCTTCCCCTCACTGAGTGCCTCTTGGGCCCTCTGGCAAGAATGTACATCCTGGTGCTGGCCACACACCTTTAGTGCCACTGTGACAAGCCAGCTTCTCAAGGAAGCGGTTAGGGTCGGGAGTGGGTCTGGATCAGGTCCCTGTAGCCCCTGTCTGCATGCACCCTGGTTGTGGCCCTAGGACAGTCATTATAGAGTCACCTCATGAGACAGGTGCTCGTAGGCAGGTTCCTTGTGCTCAGCAAGGGTGTCCAGTGGTTCGGATTCTGGCCACTAAGAGACTACGTATCCTACAGGGGTATGAACCCACCTTCCTCTCCACTGGGCCAAGAAAACCTCTCCGGGCCCTGCCATGTGTAAGGACAGGTGGGGGTCCCTCAGTTCGGAAGGGCTGGGGCTGAGATCTGAACCCACATCCTCAGACTGCAAATCCTCTAGCCCAGCGAGCACCTGTCTTCACTGCCTGTCTTGCCTTCCCTGCCTCCAGCGTGTGCCACACACACACACACATATGCACGTGCCTGTGGACACCAGATGCACACACACAGATGCAGGCAGTAATCTTAAGCACTCGGGCTCTCTGACATCTAATCCTCAACGGATCCTAGGACCTTAGGAGGAAAGTCATGTTCATAGCCACATTTCACATTCACATAGTGCTTTGTATTTTTAGTAATGGTCTCACTTGTATTAACTCCTTTGATGATCCTAGGATCAACTTAAAAGTCCCAGCAGGACACATTAATCTAAACTAAAAAATATATTCTAGTGACTCTTACCTTTTGATTTCCACTTAACAAAAGACATAAACCACTAGAGCTTCTAGAATCGAGAATTCTGTTCTGGACTGCCCTCCCTGGACTCAGAGGATGGGACCAAGAGCCTCGTACCCCAGAGGTCCAGAAAAGAACGTGAGATGTTCCCTCAGGGACCTGGCGAAGGGAGGGATGTGGGCGGAGATGCAGAAAGACTGAGTTATTCCAGAATTTGACTCAAGGCGGCCTGGGACTTATGACACGGTTCCTTCACGTGACGTCCAACCTCCGGGCATTGGTTTTGGGGAGGTTTAAGCTACACAGCTTGGTTATTAGGACCTATTCTCTCAATACTTCTTAAATTGGCACCAACACCAGCTAGAAACCCAGATATTCTCCTCAAATACAACCAGACTCTTCTGTGTTTTTTTCTGAGACTGGTGGCCCGTGTAACTTGAGCCACTGACAGCAGAGCTGGGAACCAGGGACCGAACTTCGCTTTTCCAGCTTATGCTCTGGTTTGTTGTAAGAACTCACTTCCCTTCCCCCAAGGACGTCATTCATGAGGCATTTAAGGCACCAGGTACGGAGAAACTCACGAGTAAGAAAGGCCAGGCCTCCGGCCAGCGACCACAGCCCTGCCCCAGGGACCTTTTTGTATGAAGCCAGCTTCCTTTTCTGCCCTGGTGCACCCACCAGGCATCTGAGCAAGGCCCTGGGCGGGCTAAGGGGGCGTGCAGGGAACAGCAGGGAGGCCCCAGGCCCCCGATACTGGCGCTTTGCCCTCTCTCTACATACAAGTCGTGGCGAGAGCGCCCAGAGCAGGTGGAGAACTGAGCCCAAGCAGAGGGACACACCACAGCCTGGACTGAGCCATCAGCAGGAAGGTCTCCAGACGCTGCCCTGTGCCCTGTGGGGAGTTAGTCTCGCCTGCAGAGGAACCCAGGCCTGAGCTGGGCTCAGGTCAGGAGGGAAGATTAATTCTCCATCACAGGATCACCCAGTACCTTGACTATCAAACTGACGTTTGTTACGGTGGCTTGGGTGCAAAGACATCAGAACACCTGCGGGCAGCTTCTGGGGCCTGTGTGCCCAGGGGGAGGGCAGGGGGCCTATGGCCAGTGCCTCGGAGCCCCAGGAAGAGAGGGCATCACACGGTGTCTGATGGTGGGGGGGGTTCTGCCATAGTTACCACTGCCTCCACCAAAGGAAAGGAAACAAATGCGTAGGAGAGAAAAGGCATCGTGCCCCTGCGGTTGGGAGGAAACGGGGGCCTGACCCGGAGCCCCGATTTTATTCCTCACCCGGTCTGCCAAGCTCTCCCGGACACGGTGGGGAGGGCAGCCCGCGCCCCGCACAGCCGCCTCGCGCCGCCTACCTATACTTCATCCCTGGCTGCTTCACGCTGGCGTCGCCCGTGCTCGGGAGGCTCTGCACCGACATCTGTCCCAGGCTCCGGGCCACCATGGCGACTGCGCGGAAGCGGC